TACATAAGAAAATATATTTAATTCATGATCCTTATATACATTTTAATTTTTAATAATATAAACACTACAATTATAATGTTTACATTAAAAATATAAAAATTTAGGTGTATATACTATAAAAAAACATATATATCAAAAAGTTATAAGGTATAGTCATTGTTTAATCAGATATATGTGATTTTTTCAGTATCTATATGATACATCTGATTTCTATACAGCCTAGTTATGAAGCCACTTCTCATTATCATTTAGTATATGTTATAAAATAATCAAAAAAAATAAATACTAAATTAGATATTGTTACCAAAATAGATAAAGAATTACTGATAAATTATGTATATGCAGAGACAAAATTACTTACTAAATAGAAGTTTAAAATAAAAAAATAAAGAAAATCAAATTTTAATTCATTATATTATGAAAGAAGTGTCAGTGAAAAGAGGCTGATCCCACTATTAGTAAGGCTTTGATTGAGGCATAAAAAGACTTGGTCCAAGTAATCAGATTATTTTAGATTTATATAATAGTATTAAATTTAAAGAGAAGTCTTTTTGCTTTCATTTGATGATTAAGTCACTTTTCTGCAATACTTTACTTCTTTTGTTAGTGATACTGTCAATGGGTTTATAATTAGATTAATCAATCAAAGATATACAAGGTTAGGTTCACGAATCAAAAATAATAATATTGATTACAAACTTAATTAGAATTAATTTTAATATATATAAGCTTGTATTATATATAAGCTTGTATTACTAATCTAATTTTTTCTTTTACTAAATACAACAATTTGATAAAAAAAATGGTAATAAAAAAAAAGAAAAATAGGTTAATACTAGTAATAGTTTCTTTTACAATATGCATATGGGATTGTACTGGTTTTGTACAGCATCATGCGCTGTGCAGCTATCCTAATTGAGATATATTTTTTTAATTTAAGACAAATTTTCTTTACAACTATCTAATAAAACTTGATAAAAATTTTTTTAAATCAATTGATTCTACTAATTAGTAAAATCTATTTAAAAAAGATTTTATTGAATTCTGCCAGATAGATATTGAGAAATTTTTGTTCAAAGTTTGAGAAAATTTTTGTAACCTTTATAAAGAAAATTGTCACAGCAGAACTTTTTTCAAACTTTGAGCAAATATTTCTCAACTATCTGATAGCATTGAATAGAATTTTTTTAAAATAAATTCTATAAATTAGCAAAAATTTTTTAAAAAAATTTTCATTGAATTCTGCCAGGTAGTTGTCAAGAAATTTTTATTCAAAGTTTGAAAAAGTTCTTCTATAATGAATTTTTTTAGAGCAGCAGAAATTTTCTTAAACTTTGAATAAAAATTTTTTAACATCTATTTAGTAGAATTTGATGAAAATTTTTTTAAATAAATTCTATTAACTTGTAGAATTATTTTAAATAAATTCTATCAAATTCTATCAGATAGTTGTCAGAATTTTTCACTCAAAGTTTGGAAAAATTTATCTGCAATTATTTTTTCAGAAGACAACGAATCTTCCTAAACCTAGAGCAAAAATTTCACAACAACTATTCAACAGAATTCAGTGAAATTTTTTTAAAATGAATTTTACTAATTTGTAGAATTAATTAAAAAAAATTTTATTAAATTCTATCTGATAGTTGTGGAGAAAATTTGTTTCCAAAATTAAGAAATCTTATTTCAATAACTTATGATGTTATATATCACGTGATGATCGGTACGTGCAAATCATGTGATCTTGTACGTGTCCGTAGTAGGGTGTTCAGGATTATGATCCGGTAAATGCCAAATTATGCATCCGGTAAATTGCAAATTATACGAATTATGCGAATTTTGAGTTATTAGCCAATAAATTTTCAAAAATAACAAGTCAGGTGACTACAGTTACAGATTTAACCAATCTATTTTTGTTTACATGTTGCATGAAAGTCGGATTATGCGATTTCATATAGTAAAAATCGCAAATTATGAGCATATTATGCCGAATCATAATCCTGGACACCCTAGTCCGTAGACCTGGCGCTAATTTGGCCCTCCGTGGTAACGTGTTATGTGGTCACGTGCCTGCCGTCAGGTCACGTTTCCGGTCTCACAGCGGATTAAGAAAATTAAAACATGATATCTATTCGGATAACTGGTTAGATATCTGGATCTAAACACTAGATAATATAATATTTTTATTACTTTTTAATGTATTTAATGTTTTAGATTTTAATTTAATTTGATAATATTTAAGGCATAATTTATTAATTTATTTGAATGTTTTCGGAATTAAAGATTTATCAAATTAATTAGAATATAAATTGCAATACAATCTAGTAAAAAAATCAAAAGAAATGTTGAAAAAAATATATTATATATCTTAGTAATTCTCTCTTAAAAGTTTCCTTAATTATATTTAAATTCTGTTTTAGATACAAATATAAGCATTTATTTTCAAATTATATCATATTTTAAATAATTGAAAACACTTACTAAAGAATTACAGCATCGCCCAAGATGTGGGTGCAATACCGACTGAAGCATTTTCAGCGTTAAAAGCAAACTATAAAAAAATATTACATGATTAGTTATTATTTGGGGTAACTATCACAAAGATCATTTAATTTCGTGTAACAGAATATTGATTCGAATGTTCAAAATTAAATTTATCACATAATTAAAGCATTCCTAGTAACTTAAAAGCCTATCGGAACAGTAAGAAAATTATATAATACCGAATTACTAACTTGGGATTATATAAAAAATTTACATATGTATATAATTTGTATCAGGTACATAAATAATAGATAATATCTGAAATGTATGCGCATGTTGAGAGTCTTATACAATATAGGAGACTCAACTACAGGAAGTCAATAGACAATGCCTAGGAACAGTGCAAATTCACTTAATTTGTTATCAGTCAGTAGATAGACTTTGTTAGTGCTACATGAATTTCACTGCCTATAAACAGAATTTCCGACCCGATTATGGTCAAATTTTCATGATATCACCATGATTGACAAGAGTGAAATAATGGTGGAGCAAAAATTTAGCAATACCGTGATCTGGAACTATTAAAACCACAAAATTTAACATTACTGAAACTAACAGTGCAAAAATTACCAAAATAACCGTATAACAGTGTAACTCTCTTGGCTCAATTTGGGACATTTATCAGCTCGGGGTCACAGCACTGCAAATTGTTGTGTCATCACTATTTCACCCAAATGTTAATGCATCATAAATCAGTGTTGGTAATTTTTTACGCCAAACAATTTTTTTTTTGGCCGTTGGCCAGCCAACAGTCAATAACCAATGGCCAAACTTTAGCCAAAAGTTTTCACTTACATAATATTAACCAATAATATTGCTAGCTTTATACTACAGAAATTTGGCCAAACGAAGCAAAGATTCACAATATCGGATCAGAAAGTATTTTCATTTAGACTTCTTCATGTTATTGAAATCATGTGACTGTGATCATGTGATTATATTCTATCTATGATGCACATTCGTTACACAGAAACAGTGATTTATCAAATTGCCAACTTACATAATTTTGTGACATAAAGGGGATTCCAAGAACCATATATGGAAGTTTGGTAATCTTTAAGAAGAAATTATCAATACAAATAATTTTGGCAATTTAATATACGTATAGACTTTTGTAAGCTTACGTTTGTGTCAGTGAATCCTGCATGACACGTTATGGTGCTATTCGGAATAGGTATGATATAAAAAGAATCAAATGCTATTACAATAAACAGAAAAATAAATAGGATGAAATATTAGCAAGAGAAATCGCAAAAAAACGAAAAAAAATACATACTATTTACTAGCAATGGTAAAGTCTTTTCAGCCACAAGGATAAATAACTCAATAGTGGAATTACAGGGTCCAACATACCCAAACTTTTGATCAAAATTACCACCTATTAAATTTGTAATATTATTTGCAAATTCCACACTCAAAACCATTTGAGGGTTGGTAACACTAAGAACAGCAGGGTATGACATATTAATCTCGTAAGAAGTTTCATTAGTTTTCATATTTTGGGCAAACATTCCTGCATTCATAAATATATATAAATTGTAAATATATATAATATTGTAAAAACAGAATACTTTACATATTTACCATAAGGTTTTATTTTCCAGAGACTTTCTGGACTTTCTATTTTAAAGAAATTATTGTCAATAGTTAAAAGAATAAAAAGAATACAAAGAAGATATCTAATCAACCTTGATTTATTAATGGTGCCCAAATGAACGGTGTTGTTTGCAGCATAGGCAAATGTTCTCCAATTTCTCCAAACATAATTAAACCACCATCAAGTATTTCTTGCCAACAAAGATACGGGTATTTCACGCAGTACTGTGAATGATAAAGTTAAAGTTTTGCTTTTTAAGGTAAATAAATTATATTTCTTTTAATACTTACATTTATTATATACTGTGGAACCATTAAATAGCTAAATATTTTTTTGGATATTATACCTATTATGAAATATTGAGTTAGAATCTGTTGCTATAACAATTTTTCATAAACATATCATGTGAATTTCGGCAAAATCAAGTCAGAAAGTTCTGCGATCGCATAATCCATGATATAATGTCATTATAAATAGTGATATTAAGCATATATGTATTATATATAATATAATTGTTGCGATATTTCTTTGCAATGACTTTTTACATGAATTTTTCTACTTGCTATTTGACGATAGTCCAATATATAATTACTAGAGTTTGGGAATCAGCTTTATTTTTTGTACTTTAAACATTGAAAATAAAACTGATTTCAAACTCTAAGTTATCATTTTATAAAAAGTTGACTAGCAAGAGAAGCTTACCCTTTGATTTTAGGTATGAATAAAAGGTACAGTTTTTAAAATCAATGCAATCATTTGGATCATACCCTAGTTGTAGATTAGATTAGTTTCAAGAAAATTATTTTTTTAAATAAAAATTTACACATACCAAGTCCGAATACTCCCGTAGCATACAAATCTACTGACTCTGTATCATTAATAGAATCTACCAATCCGAAAACATATGGTATAGTCACGTTTCCAGTTGAAATGATATCTACCCCATATTCGTTAATGTGAAATCGTCCGGAGTTATAGGAGGTTGTTTGAGTTTTATTGTATGTCGAACTATTTGTCGGATCGAAGGTATAGCCGGGGCACAATATACAATTGGTAGACTCAACAAAAGAATCCCTAGTTTCAAGATCAAATATCGTGGTGACTCCTTGTGTGGAATTTATTCCTATGCTAACTACCGAAGCCCACTGAAAAAGCAGGCATTAACGTTATGAATTTTAATATCGACATCAAAAAAAAAGTAATCGAGCAAGAATATAAAACCAACATACTACTGGAATATTAGGGAAGATGTCTAAGTCTGGATAAAACAAAATATCTCGTTTTTTAGATCTAGTATGTTTTGACAGGAATGCATTCTGAGTATTATCGAGTAATTTATACTTAAGATTATGAGTTATAAACTGTTGAGTACAGTTTACTAGAAAAGTAAACTTCAAGAGCATGTACGTAAATAAAATAAATTGTATAAATGTTTTCATAGCGAATTGATTCAATTAATGTTTTTATTCACGAAATTCACGAATTTCACGAATTTCACGAATTAAATATATTTTCTTATGTAAATCTTTATTGATAAGGATATCCATATTTTTTTATCAACAAAGCAAATAAAGAAATGACGTGTTAAGTGATTTTCAGTCAATCGCATCTAAGTGCACCTATTATGCGTTAAACAACTAATTAACTTTGAACGGCCTTACTATATAATTTAATACTGTTTATCAAACTAGTCTCGGCACAAGCAAAATCTTGATATTAAAATGCCTGATCTGATTAGGTATATCTTAGTTATTTTATCCTGACAGCACAAATCCCGACAGTGCTACATAATCCTGACAAGATAAAATCCCAATATGTTAAATTCCGACAAGATATCGACAAGATAAAACCCCGACATGATAAAATGCCGACTAAAACAAAATTCTATCAGTTCAAAATCCAGAATATGGCAATTAATAATTGAAATAAATTGAAAAATGATGCGAAACATGCATAGATTTGAATATACACATAAGTTTAAATGCATCGTAATAATTTCTTTATTAATCGTATATTTATACAAATATTTGTTGAAAAACACCATATCAATTTCAAATTGAAAAATGAAGTGCGTCAATTAATAAATGACATTGAGAAATAACGCATAACATATATAATCCGATTGTCTCATTATATAACGGTCTTTGCAACATTCGTTTGTAGTGTTTATTCTATACAATTAGCCCTTCATATGATGACGGGTTCTAATACTATTAATTACTGAAATAAGTTAGCGTTAGTATCGGTATAAGATCTTTATTTAATACAAACATACTTTTGTCATAATTGTTCTGATTTCTCAGATCGTTCCAGATTGGTACAAGTTTTTAACTTGTATATCCTTACCAAATAATTTCCACGAGACAATTTTCAAGGTATTTGATGTTGATCTGGATCATGAGATCAAGAATAAATGTGCAATCTAACCAAATTATCAGAAACGGAGTGATATTGAAAATTTCACGAAGTGTATGGTTATACGGCAAATTAAATGATGTATGTCCGTAAAATCTTGCATCTTATTGGGTATATGCATATGGCGAAGCAAAGGTGTGAATGCATATTGAAACTTTTCATGTTACATATTTGCATCTGAAGTAACACTTGCTCCTGTATTTTGTATCACATGAGATTGTTAGTCTAACTTAATATTAATGTGCGATACCTGATTCATTAATTTATTTTCTCATGGTTATGGATACCGACTCTAAAACGAGCTACTTCATTTCACGATTCACGTATGACACGTGCCAATTCCGGATTGACCTATTTCATTTATGCCAATTCCGGATCGACCTATTTCATTTATGCCAATTCCGGATCGACCTAAATTCCGTAACGGTAACGATGCGGAACAAATAGATATAAAAACATGCATTTCTTTCCGAAATAATATAAAATTTTAATTTAGCAAAATGAAAATACTAATAGAATGATTTATCTTTATATCAGAGATTGTTATCAATATGAAACTAAAACAAACATCCCTAGATAGACTGGGTTTACATGTTTATCGTAGACCTAATTGCATACAAAATTATTTGTACATAGTGTTCACGCTAATCTTGTAAATCTCAAGTCTAACGTTAACACTAAATTTCTATTTAGAAAAGATAATTATATATTGCAGATTATTCTTAAATTGTTAATTTATTGATTATTGATTTGTTAGTGCGGTGAAAAAAAAAGATCCGGAAATAATTTTTCACTCTGCAAATAATCGTCCATCATATGATAACATTTAGATAATCTTGAATGAAAGAATAATTAATCAAAAATCCGATCTCTAATAATAACGATAAATAAAATTACAAATATATTAATTTGCATAAGTAAATTAT